CGAACTCCAGCTCAACCATTCCAAGATGTTAATTCTCTGTCATGAAGTCAACTTTTGTTGATTTGGATTGATGTCTGCACTCTAATGCTGAAGGAAGACATTTCCCTTCATTTTTTAAGTGGTGGTATATGAAGAATCAAAACTTTGTCTTCAACTTCTTTGCCCAAAAAAAATAAGCTACATTTAAAGAAAACACACACCAAATATGCACAATCATACATCAATGAGGGCATTGTGTTCCCTTATGTTCTCTTATGTGCTGTGTTTTTGTGCCAAGTATGGTTTCACTATATGTATTCTCACAACATTGTTAGATTTCTATGTTTTCTTTGAAAAAACATACTCTTGCCTTCCAACCCTTATATATAGATTTGCAGACCTATGGAAACTGCTGGGAAATATTGACATATGTAAAATACATATACTTATTGGAAAATCTCAAGGCTGCTTTAGTGTTCACGGAGTCGTGGTGTAATTAGAAATAATTTATATAAGGAATTTGTTTTATGGTGTCTTCATCTATGCAACCAGGCTATGGGAGATTTTTATTTTGTACCCGGATTTTCTTATAACAAAGTTTTTTGTTTCTTCCTTTCCCTTAGTACAGGATGTAGTATATGTATGTGTGGAAAAACCTTTTTGATTATTTATGAAGCTAACCGCTTCTACAGACAGATACCCAATATGGTAACAGTGGTGCTCAGCTTTCAATGGCATTTTATCTTCATGTTGTGTTCTCAGCATGTTTTGACAATGCTGTATGTGATGCTTTTGATACCGTACTTTTTTATAATCTCTTTGTCCTGTAGTACTTCATGTGATAGGCGCTGTGATAATACAAGTGTTGCACTGATACAGTAACGGGTAGGGCCCCTATACTGCACTTTAATGGTGGTATCAGTATCGGCAAGTACCAACAAATAGGGCACCCATACCATTTTGAGACCCAAAAGTGTATTCAACTATTGTCACTCATTCCAGGTAGGCAATAAAAAGTTCCACTGGATTCACTCTGTATTTGTCTTTTTTTCTGCTTCACAAAGGCAACAGCTTGACAAAGCCATGATGGCAATTATTTTACAGTGGTATGCATTTCTTCATATATACACACACACAAATCCATTTCAAACAGATGATATCGGTATGGTATCAGCTGATACTGCAAAGCCAGGTATTGGGTATCAGTATCTGGGCCAAAAAATGGCATTGGCACAACACTAATAATTACTCAGCAATTTAAAGGAAGGAGGTAAGAAAGTAAACCCTAATGATTATTTTAATAGTTTTTAACATGAGAACTGAAGGTGACATGGTGAAACTGGTACTATTGGAAGTAGCACAAAGTTGACCTTCTATCAAGGGTGGTATTTAAGTTGTAAACACAAGCCTGAGAGGGTCTGCACTATCAATACCTTCAAGTGATAACTGCTCTTATGCAGCATGATCAACTGCATATGCTGCAGAGATTGCATGTGATATTGAATCAGAATAGATTTGGTTTTTATTCAGGGCATGGTTGTAACAGAGGTTAGATGATGCAACAAAGCAGTGCAGGGAGTTTCATCATATTAGCTCATTCACATTAGGAAGAGTTACAGGGAAACCTTACAGCTTGAGTTGTCTCTATAATAAGCCCCGAGGCTGCTGTTTGAAACATCTAGCAAGACTGTGGATTTGTTTTTGATACTGTATAATTACCTACCATCACAGGAGATATAACGAAATATTAAACTGAGGTGACAAGTAAATTTACCATTTAAAATTCTAAATTGTGGATTTAAGTCCTTTAATTCATTAATTTTCTGCACTTTAACTTAATGGCATTCTATCCAATGACTTCTAAATTACTGTTAAAATGTATCAACTGCAACTCAACAGCTTTGCCTTGAATTATTTTACAAAGGCTATAACTCTTCAAATTCTGTTGATACAACAAATATCTTAATTCTGCATACTACATTACCAAATGAACTTTAGAATGAACTAAATTACCTTTAGTGGTTTAGAATAGCAAGTTGAAATAGATAACATAAACAGAATAAATTCCACATAAACCTATTATTCTCACTTTCTGACATCAGACACCTCAAGGCCTGTTTGATTTGCCAAATTTGTTTGCTAAAATCCCCAAAAATTCATTTAATTGAGATTTTCCTATTACTTTCCTAACTGTGGCTTCAGAAAAGTAAGAAAGCAAAGGTGAAGATGTTGCTGCATTTGAGAGCTTCTGTCAATCTGAGACTAAGGGTGAACATTTAGCTTTTCCAACTATTATTTAAAGGTAAACAACACATGTAAATTTGAGGAAGGAAAAGAGCTTGATGTCCTGAAAATCTTTCTTGCAAATCAACCTGCTTGGTAAAAATGTTACCTGTTAGCTGATAGGGGAGATCGATCCATCCATCCATCCATCCATCCATCCATCCATATATCCCTCCATCCCTCCATCTATCCCTGCATCCATCATCCATCCATTAATCAATCCATCATCCATTATTCATCCATCCATCCATCCATCCATCCATCCATCCATCCATCCATCACCAATTCCACCCTCCCTCCCTCATCCATCCATCCATTTATACATCCCTCCATACATCCATTCATCTATCCATTATTTATGTACCCACCATCCATCCATCCATCCATCCATCCATCCATCCATCCATCCATCCATCCATCCATCCATCCATCCATCCCCAATTCCTCCCTCCCTCCCTCATCCATCCATCCATCCATCCATTTATAAATCCCTCCCTCCATCCATTCATCCATCCATTATTTATGTACCCACCATCCATCCATCCATCCATCCATCCATCCATCCATCCATCCATCCATCCATCCATCCATCCATCCATCCATCCATCCAACTTCCACCACTTGTCCATCAGTGTTGAAAGTGCATATCTCCAGCAGTCTATGGGGGAAAGGCAGAATAAAACCTGGAAAGATCGCCTGTTCACCTCAGGGCAACCCATAGACACATCACTATGGAGATAAACTCATAACTAAGGGCAAATTAGAGACATAAGTCATTTTTTTGGACTGTGGGAAGAAACCCAAGTACCAGGAGAGAACCCCTGCATGCACAGTAAGAACTTCCAAACTGTATGCAGAAATATCCTAGACCAGGAATCGAAAGCAGGAATGTTTTGTTGCAAACGCTGCAAAACGCTCCACCAGGTAGCTTGTTAAAGAAATACTGCCAACAATAAAAAAAAAAAATCATGGTTGGATGTTTTAGTGAGAATGGAGGCATAACTAGAAAAGCAAATCAAAAAACCAGATTATACTCTGTCAATGGACCCAGACACAAATAAATGCTTGTGGTCAGATGAAGCAAAAATCTAAGTGACACTTTTGGGAGGAAAGAAATAACAAAATGTACAGGCCTTAGAACACGGTGCCAGCTGTAAAGTGGAGGGGTGTCAACATCATGTCTGTGTGTTTTACTTAAGAAAGCCTTGGTGGCTTTAGTGGAACAGACTAGATGTTATCAATATGAATATGTTTAAATATTACTTAAAAGAGCAATAAATAATAATGACACCTACTGTTTAAAACCAGAACAACACAAAAAAAAAACATAAAGATGTTACTTCCATCCTGGGTGACAAATGAGAGTGATTTAGTTTAATTTTGCATTTCATTTCTTACTTATTGCTCTTTCAAATCCTGGAAAGAGTTAGATCTCCCAAGTCAAAATTAATCTAAGCATACAGAAAAAAGTGTTCGAAAGTGAAGAAAACTTAACCTGTAATGGACTGTTTATCAAGACGGCCTTTAAAACTGACTCCGTTACATAATTCTGGTAGAAGAAATGGTCCTAAATTTAAGCTTTCTCTGTTAGGAAACTTGTTGAAAGACATCCAAAATTACTCACCTAGGTCTAACAGAATACGTCAAAACTCATAAAATTATTGTCGAATGTTATTTTGACTTCCAGCAAATAGTAACATTTTGATCATATTAACTATCTTAAACAGTCTAGTATGAAAAATGTCAGTGAGAGATAAACTATGATTCTTGCATACAGAGGATGTGAATATCTTATTTCAGATGTTGGCAAAAAGTAGCTCCTTTTGAACTAACTAAAATTAGCATGAATAAGGCTGTCAGGGCAGAGAGAGACAAATTAAAGCAGTTTCAAAGCAGCCACCCATAACAGCCCTTCCAGGCAATGCTGCTTTCCACCAGGTTTTATTAGCTTTCTGAAGCTGCTATGGTACTCATGCTTACATCACTCATAAAAATGACTCGGATTAATCAACTGAGTGCTGGGCATGTTGGCGAAATGCTCAAGACCTGCATAGGAAGAGCAGATCTAACACTAAATCATGCTTGTTTACGCTAAGCCACTATTTTAACCTCAGCTTGCCTTTCCTGCCTTGTTCACACTGCAGTTGGCAGCCTCCTCCCAAGCACATGGAAAGCTTTTTTTAAGAACAGATGGGAAAACCCAGCACATGCTTCATGCTGACATCTAGTGGTACCCACAACATGCAATGGAGCACAAAACTCTAATCTAATTACAAATTCAACTGATTTCAGTCGTTGAAATCTTTTATATATGCTGAGTTATTTTAGATTTTATGCAGTAATTTAGTGTAAAGTTTAAAAACACTCCATCATTTCCTATTTCTAAAACAACAATCGAGGCGATTTCCCTCTCGGGTCAGTTAGTGCTTTAACCCTACAGCTCTTCAGTGTCATATAGCCGGACAGTTTTAGAAAGCATTCAGCCATGGACAGTCTGCCAACTGGGCCATGCTATCAGTGGATATTAAGGGCGCATACACAGGCTGGATTTCTGAGAGGGGAGCTGCAGAGGATGAAGGCGGGTTTCAATGTGCAGTGATCTGTCACCACTAAAAAAGGACAGCTGCAGCAATGACCCTGGCTTTTTTTATTATGGGTTGAATCATTTTATTTCCATGTCTTTTTTAATACTTAAGTGTCAAATGGTGTAGTCTAATATTTGATTTTTATATACTCACAGCAAAAATCTGTGGTCTTTGCTGGAAGTTCACAGTGAGAGTACTTTCAGTCCAAAGTCCTGAAAGAGAAAAGAAATGTGAAATTAGGAAGGATAGTAACCATTAACTTAAAAAAAGAGCATTTTATTCAAAGGTTTGGAATTGTGGTTGACACAAATGGAACTACCTTCCAACTCTTCATAATGAAGAATGCACATAAAGATTGAGCCCTAAAACACCACAGAAAGGCCAAGAAAACTGCATCAATTTCGAAAATTGGGGCACAAATAAAGAATACCAACAGCTATTTTGTTGCACACTGCTGCTCACCAACGACTGAATAATTTCACTCTTCTCATTATACCATTAAAAGATTCAAAATCACAAACCATCAACTTGGGTAAACAAATAACACCATCAGAAGAAATAATAGCTCTTTGTGTCAATCATAAAACAATGTTATGATCGCACAACATTGATGAAAGCGTAGTATACGTCAAATGTCTTCCAATATAGTTTTGGCAAAAAAAAACATTTCCCTCATTGGAAACCCTTTCCTATGGGGAAATGTTTGACAAAACAAAGTATGTTTTGATAAAATACCTATTTAACAAGTAATAACCAGTTTCAATCCTCTCTGGCATCAAATGTATTTAAAGAACATGAAACAATATGTCCCGGATGATCTCTTAATGTAAATTGAGTATGCCTTCTTAAAGGATTATGTAATTTCATATTTCAATATGTACCTGTGCTGTTCTTTTCTGAACATATCACTGAAAATGCACGCTGCGCTAAACTGGAGCTTTCTATACATATTTGTGAGGATATTTTGGGGTAGATAGACATGGACTCCTTTCAGCCTTGAAAATGTTTTCAACCCACATCTCCTTTGCACATTCAGCTTTAGCACTTTTATATACAAACTCCATATTGATAAAATATTCATATCCCTGAAACTTTTAACATTACAGGTTATCTACAAAAGATTGCACTCCATGTCCTCTATATGCTTGTTGTGCTCTACTGTTTAAGGCTGATTGGAGGAGCCCTTTTTCTTGACATTTTTTTCTGAATTTGTGGTGCAGAAATCAATTGTTCTTCTGTCAACAGTTTCTTATATTTCCTCTGTGGATTTCTGCAGCTCCTCCAGTGTTACCATAGGCTAGCTTGACCAGCCAGGTGAAGAGCTTGTCCAGCTTGATTTCATAGGCGTAACTAACAGGTTTAGCGACAATAGCCTAGCAGCGATCAAATAACTATGGATGTGATGCAAAGCTCCTGGCGACGTGCTGTGTTTTTGTAATTTTGTAGTCCGTGAAACGTGTCAAGCCAAGAATAACAAATACGGCCTTTTTTAAAAAGAAATAGCATTTAAGCTGTCCATTGTTGTGGTTTTAAAGAAAGATCAATTTTAATTAGGACATCAGCAAGGGATCATTAAAACATTACTCCATTGTGATCGCCATCTTATGCAAGCAGAAAAGCAGAAAAAGGCGATGAGAGTGATGCATTGTTGTGTGCCAGGCAAACCATAGGCCTATTTGCTGCTGCTTCTCAGTTTAATCTTTTCCTTATTCTGCCTCTTGGTTTTAGGCACATTTAGCTGTTCCGTCATGTTCATTTGATTCTCAAAAGATAGATGGAAATAAGCTCCATAAGATGTCCAAAACTTGAAATATTGCTCTATAATGTGGGTTAAACATCTCCATAACTTTATCTCTGTTCTGTCTGCTGTGCACCTTAAGACATATGCTGTAAGTTTTTTTGCCTTTTTTCAGGCCGATTTTCCAGTCGTGCGAGAGTTTTTCGATCGGGCCTACTTGCAGCCGGATTGTGCGTCCTGCATAATTTAGTATACAGGGGGTAACAAGGTGCAATCAGCTACTTACGACCACCTCTGTGAGTGGCTGGCCTCACCATCATGAGGTCAAGAGAAAATCAAACGTGTTGGAAATTCAGTCGGCAGTCGTGGGCAAAACACTCTGGGCCGGATCTATCAAAGGTTTGCGTGTATAAAAACGTGAGCTATTTCACTGCGCACGCTAAAAAATGTACAAACTGATCTATCAACAGCGTGCTAAAAGGATTTGGTCTTTAAAACGTGCTAAATAGCGCCTCTTATCCATTTAGTACCTTTTCTGCAATGAATATGCAATATGGGGCGTTTACACGCAAAAGTGCGTCTTGTGGGAGGAGAACATGTAAATATATTAATTTACCACTCGCAAAGTGATTTACCAAACCTGAAAGCAATTTTGCTAACGGTATCTGACTCTATATTTAACACGTTTCAAAAGAAGGTGCAAATGGTCTGTATGCGTAATTGCGCACACATGGCAGCGGTTATTGTCGCAAGAAGGAGACATGGAAATGAAGCAAGGAGACGCAGAGAACGCATTTTTTCACTCCGTGTGAATATTTTTGCAATGAAGGAGGAAACGATCATCAAAACATATCGTTTATCCAGCATTGACATTTTGGAGCTGTTGGGGGAACTCCGAATGGATTTGGAGCCAGGCACAAGGAGGACTCACGCAATACCCCGGATATCACAAAACTCTTGCAACATTGCACTTTTTTGCATCTGGGATCTCCCAATCTCGTTTTTCAGAAGTGCTGTACAACGTTCTAAATGCCATGTCGCCCTGACTACCGGAGAACCCCGACCTCTGCGCCTGTGGAGCAACATGCCAATGCTGCAGGGATGAATACGCGCAATAATCTCTTCCACAGTCACTTCTTGTGAACCATTTGGTATGTGCATTTTTCTACAGGCCAATACAAAACACCAGTTTTTTTTTTTTTTTTACTGCAGTGAAGTAGAAATTCAGCCACATACCACCTTAGGGAATAAAGGTTGCCAAAGTTTATATATATATATATATATATATATATATATATATATATATATATATATATATATCATTTTTTGGAGGGGGTGGGGGTGTCACTGTAAGATTCAAATTTCTTAATGCACTAGTTTGCACAAACTACAAACTACTTTGCCGCAAACCACCAAACGCGCAAAACCATCATTTAAATAGGGCGTCTCCAACAGTTTTGCACCTGCCGCCAGTTACGCAATCGCTCTTGTTAAATCACCCGCAAACCATGGTTCAGCCCCTCGCGCAAAATTCCAGTTTGCGAGCGCAAATTACTGCACGCAAAATTGGATCTTGATAAATCCGGCCCTCTGTGCGCAAACAAGGATTCTTCTTCTTCTTCCTCTCAGACGAAAACACAGAAGCATGGCGGGGATGCGAGAGAAATTTAGTTCTTTCTGTACAATTGACAGACCGTAGTAGCCATGTCTTTGTTCAAATATGTCTTTGCCTTTTCGTTTTAGGGCTTTCAGCACCCAAAATTGCACAAATTACCAAGGCAGCACGTTTCAGTCTAGTGAGCTCCACATTCCTCTTCTACTTGTTTGGCTTCCGGATAGATTAGTGCCATCTCACTGCGAAGCTGAGTCCAACGTGGTTTTTAGACGTACAGTATGAGCAGGTAGATTGCATCAGAGCGTCGGGTCACAGTGTGAGAAAATACACCGTGAGCTGTGAACTTTTAAACCCTACGGTTTCGTCGTACAGTGTGAGCTGTAGCTGTGTGCAACGATTGAAAAAATTGTACAGTGTATGCCTGGCTTTAGCTGACATTTCCCTCTCTAAAAAACCTTTAAGGTTAAAATTAACTTACACAGAACTGATCTTTATTTTCTAACTATTACTTCTTAAATTGCATTGAATATGAATAAGGATGCAGATTTTAATATGTACAAATCTTTACATTGTTTTTCATCTTTAGTTATAAATTTTTACACTTACACTATTATTCGCAGATTTCATCTGTTCAGTACCAAATTTGTTTTACATTTGGTGTTTTTTTTTATAATTTCTTTAAATGGGCATCTATTTTCTTTTTATGGTGAGCATTTCTTATTTTATCTAAGTATTCCTTTTTTTAATTACTGTCCAGGGTTTCTTTTCCAACAGTTTTTTGTTTTTTTTTGTTTTTTTTGCAATAAAAAAATGTTCCATTCTCTATCACATTTTTTGCACACTTGTGTGTATTTGCAACTTTCATTTTATTCTTTACATATCAGAATTTCCACACCCTGACACAATTAAATGATACTTCTATTCTATTCTATTCTATTCTAAGCTGCTGCTTCTCAAATGTGCTAATGACTGCATTAGACTTTTATGATTACTTAAATTATGTTTGCTGTCTCTCATCTTTAGAGACTTTTTGGAGCTCAATGTTCCTACAGTTCTATACTTTATAAAATCAATCAATTTCATGACTCAGTAAACATAATTAAGTCATTGTAATTGTGTCATCAAAATCTTCCATTTGGGAGATATTCGAATTCATTTGTGCACTTCAGGGAAGAAAAAGCATGTCATCCGAAAAAAATCCCCAAACATAGTGAGATTTTAGTAATTTATGTATTAGAATGTAGATCAACTAAATCATTTATCTTCTAACTTCAACACAATACAAAAAATATGTTTTTTATTGCCAGAATTGTTGGCCTTTGATGGGTAAAAACAGGTTAGGGTATTTTTATACAACAAGATGGCTGATCACAAAGCAGTATACTGAAAAAGAAAAACCCATCATGGTACATGGAGACAGGGGCCGTTTCTACGTGCCTTCACAGAGGAATACCTGCAGTCTTTGTAGAAACACAATGAAAATGTCAAAGTGAGCTGTTTGCGGCTTGCTGAGGGGTAACAGTGACAGGAGGGCGAAAAGCAGCTTAACACTCTGCCCTGAAAGAATGCAAGTAACATATTCTAAGGAAAAAGACCAAAACATTCACAAAAACAGTTAAACCAAACAAAATAAGATAACAACAAAATTACTGCATAAACCACTATGATTTAACAGTACATGTTTGTATTACTCCAAAAGAACAAATAAAATCTGAAATGCTGGTAATTTTAGCAGCTGAGAGGAGTCACAGACTGTGATGGCATCTTCTCAGATAGAATCACATTAAAGGAAATTGCCTCTTGGTGAACATAATTGCATCCTTCCAGACTTATTATTTATGTCGCTTAGGGAGCAAACA